AAGTCTCGGAAGGGAGACTATAAATAGTAAAGATTTGGAATCCTTTTCCAAGACATATGATACACTTTATTGTGCAGAGCATTTTCTCCTCTGTTTCTTTACCATTCTGAAGAAGATAACAGAGATGCTTTGTAGTGGCAGAAACATGGTAGGACTTCCCATTCAGCTGTTACTTCAGTATGGGCAGTGTCTTTCGGTACAGAGATTATCTTTCTGTACAGAGTATCCTTCTGCACAGGAAGTATCTTTCTGCATAGAGAGTGTCCTGCACAGGGAGTATTCTTCTGTATAGGGAGAATCTTGTATACAAGAGTATCTTTCTGCACAAGGAGTATCCCTCTGCACAAGGAATATTCTTGTGTACATGAAGTGTCCTTCTGTACAGGTATATCCTTCTGTACATGGAGTATCCTTTTGTACATGTGTGTCCTTCTGTTTATGACATGTCCTTCTGTACAGGGAATATCCTTTTGTACACAAAGTATCCTTCTATATAGGGAATATCCTCCTGTACAGGGAGTGTCCTTCTATACATGGAGTATCCTTATGTTCAGGGAGTGTCCTCCTGTATAGGGAATATCCTTCTGTACACAGAGTGCCCTTCTGCACAGGGAGTATTCTTTTTTTTTTTTTTTTTTGAGTTGGAGTCTCACTCTGTCGCCCAGATTGGAGTGCAGTGGCTGCTCCCGGCCACCGCAGCCTCAACCTGCTGGGTTCCGGCGATCCTTCCACCTCAGCCTTCCGAGTAGCGGAATTACAGGCACGCACTACCATGCATGGCTGATTTTTTGATTTATTGTAGAGATGAGGTCTCGCCAAGTTGCCCAGGTGGGTCGTGAACCCGCAGGTTCCGGCAGTCCACTCACCTCAGCCTCCCAATGCGTGGGATTACAGGCTGAGCGACCGAGCCCAGCTGGGAGTATTCTTCTGTATAGTGAATATCTTCTGTACAGAGAGTATCTTTCTGTATAGGGAGTATCCTTCTGTTCAAGGAGTGTCTTTCTGTACACAGAGTATCCTTCTGTACAGGGACTGTCCTTCTGTACACAGAGCATTCTTCTCTACATGGGATATCCTTCTGGACATGGAGCATCCTTCTATACGGGAATATCTTCTGTACGGGGGGTATCCTTCTGTATAGGGAACATCTTTCTGTACAAGGAGTGTCCTTCTGTATGCAGAGTATTCTTCTGTACATGGAGTATCTTTTTGTACAGGGAATATCTGTCTGCACAGGGAGTATGCTTCTGTAGAGAGAGTATCCTTTTGTACATGGAGTGTCCTGTACAGGGAATATTCTTCTGTACAAGGAGTGCCCTTCTGTACAGGGAGTGTTCTTCTATATAGGGAATATCCTTCTATACATGGAGTATCTTTCTATACAAGGAGTCTCCTTCTATACAAGGAGTATCCTTCTGTACACGGAGTGTCCTATACGGGGAGTATCCTTCCGTACAGGGAGCATCCTTCTGTACTTGGAGTATCCTTCTACTTGTTCAGGTTTCTGTTCACATCTCAGCCATGCCCTCCCCAAAATACTCTTTTAAAAACGTGAATATTAGGTATGTGTTATTTTTAATTACTGTCACTGATGTATGTAATTTGAAAATTAATGTTGCTGTAATTATATTGATATACTGAATAGTTATTCCCAGCTTTTTAGTTAGACAAATTAAGCCTGTCTTTATGAATTCATCTTCAAAGGCTCAAAGTGGTTAAGAAATCAGGAGTAGGCAGAATTAAAGCCTTTGTTCTGTGGGTAATTTAGCATGAGTTAGCAAATGTAATTGATTTTTAAAATGTGGCATCAAGATTAGATTTCTCTTCCAGGAGAACTTTTGGTCTCTGTTCTCTTTTGCCAGAGGTTTCTAATTTATAACAAGCAACTCATTTGGGTCACATTCAAAACTGGAATTAAAGTCATTTGTTTGGGTATGTTCACCTTAAATAGGGGACAATCTTCTTTGGGACCACAGATGCCCTGATTTTGAAAAAGAGATAAATGTGCTATCTTGTTTACTATCGTGTTTTCTGTACTTAAAATAGTACCTGACCTGAAGTAAGTATTTAGTTTTTGTTTTTTTTTTTTAGTGAGTGAATGAATGAGTAAGGGTTACCAGAGATATGTCTAATCTTTTGATTTCTCTAGTGCTGAAATGGTTCATCTATTTGTCTCCCTGCCCTCTGTCCTCCCCCGTGGGCTCTGTACCATCTCCTCCATCCTGCTCCGCCCCTCTGTGGCTTCATCGCTTCATCTGTTTTCCCTGTGCTAAAACCTCCCTGGCTTGTACCCTGTTGTTGGTGTTGGGTATGTTCTTCATAGGAAGCACTGCTAGGATCTGAAATTCAACATACCTGACTGGGCCGATCACCCACATCTCCAGTGTGTACCGGAGTGAACAAATCTGACCAGGAGAGATGGGGATACTAGGCAATAGCTCATAAATGCAGGAAGGAGGATTGCTGCACACGGATGCGGAGTGCTGGGGGAACAGGACAGGGCAAAAGAGCCAACAGGAGATTTGTAGGTAATTTTTTTCCCTGAGTTTAACGTATCTGGACGCTCACCTCCTTCCGACATTCTGTTTCTGACACCAGGCCCTGTGGATTATTTTGTCATATCTGTCTGCTAAACCTCTTTCCTTCTTCTCGCTCTGGTCTATGTGGCTGGAGGTGCCATCTACACACTGGTGGCTCCAGATCTTGCCCGGAGCTCTCACCTGAGCCTCAGACCCACATCAGCTGTTTGCTGGACTCTCCATTTGGACGCCCCACAAACTCTTTGTCCTGACCTATGAGGGGGACCCCAAAAAACCCCAGAATTGATTCATAAAAAATTGTGTGTTTATTCCTACATGTTTAAAACTTCAGTCACCTTCAGAGTACTCCCGGTTTGATGTAATACTCCTATTGAGACATGTTTTCCACTACACAAAACAGTTTTTGAACTCATCAGTTTTGATGCCTTTTAGTGCTTCTGCTGTTTTTTGTTTCTTTTCTTCCACATAAACAAGATGTTTTCCTTTGAGGACTTTTTTCATCCAGGGAAACAAACAAACAAACAAAATGGTGCTTGGGGAGAGATCTAATAAATATGGGGGATAGGGCACAGAAGTCATGCTGTTTTTGGTTAAAAAAAACCCCCCAAAACAACAAAAACAAAAAACTGCTGAACACTCATTGTGGTGTGGGCAGATGCACTCATGAATCACCCATCATGAAATGGGCAAATGCATTGAAAGAATCTCCAAAAAAAAAAAAAGTTTCACTGAAACTGAATACAGCCTCTCACAACAATGCTAGCTGGTGCACTGATGCTGATGGGTCTTAGAACACTTACTTAGTGGGGGATGTCTATAGTACAGGGGGCCCGCCTGCCTAAAAGTAATTCTGGGTTTTTGGAGGGTCTCCCCTCATATAAAACCCTGCAGGATCTGGTTCCCACTTGCCTTGACAGCCTCTTTCGGCCTACGATTCTGCACTCTGATGATACTTCTGGCAGTTCCTGGAGAACATGGCCATGCTGTGTGCTCTGCCTAGAATATTTGTCCTTGCACCACTCCTTTTCGGGCTGATTTCTACTTATTCTTCAGCAGCTTTGACATCACTTCTTGTAAGAACATTTCCTTCTACCAACCCCTTGAGTCTGGTCTAAGAGCCTTCTATACACCCACAACACCATACATTTCCTATGATGTGTTCTGAGCATTTCTAACACTATTATTATTGCCTGTTCATTTCTCATTATACTGTGGGCCTACCTCATATTTTCTCGAATGTTTCCATCCTGTCTGAGGCCATCATCACCTTAGGGCTTGCGCCTGAGCAGAGCCTTTTATAGCTGACTTCCTTGTGTCCAGTCACAGCCCTCTTTCTCCATCCTGTGCACATCTGCCAAGCCAGGATCTCCAAGGGACTGCTTAGCTGTCATTACTTCCCAGTCAGGAGGCCTCCCATACTCCGAGAGTCATTGTTTTCCTGGTTTTATACTCCACAAGGTAACATCAACAAGCACTCAGCATTGAGTGTGTTCCTTTCCTACATTTCTGTCTCTATGAAGGGCACTGCCATTTTCTTAATGACCCAAGTTGGATAACTTGACAGTTTTGAATTCTCATGCAACCCCCTTACCAAGGCCAAATACTGTCAGCTTCATTTTAGGAATGTGGCTCCCAGGAAGGAAGGACATAAACCCTATGAGCTTTGAGTTAATGTTGGATCGATAGATGTCATGGGTAGATCACCCTTACATCCACCTTACACTTGATGCTTACAGTTTATTTTCTTCTCTTTTCCTAGTGCTTATGCCTCAGCGTGGACCCACCTTAGCTCTTTTTGAACTCTTGTCATCACAGCTAACTGCCCTGTGGTCCCCCCTCCTGTTCTTTCTCCTTGCTATTGTTGGTGAAGGTCTGATAAGATAATATACATGAATGTGCTTTCTAAACTGTGAACTTGCAGTTGTCAGACCTCAAACATGGAAGGAATTGCAAGGAATCTTTCTCAGAAAGCTACTCATGGTTCCCACCTTTGTGGCTTTCTGTTCTGAACCACTTTCACCTGGGGCTTCCTGTAGTCTGGGGCATGTGTTTTCCCAGTATTTGCACTCAACATAGTGTCCTATAACAAATTGCTTATTTTGTTCCTCTCCTGAACTTCCTGGGGCTGGAGTCATGTTTTGGGCATTTTTGTGTGTACCCCTTTCACTCCTCACCCCCAGCCAGCACGGGGCCTGGCATATAACCAATGAGAAACCCATGTTGACAATGTGCATATTAGCCAGGTAGCTCAGACTGCTGTTCCCTGTGTTGGAGTTGTTCCTCTCTGCTGCCTCCACCTGTTGAATCCTTTCTAGTTAACTTATATCCTCTAAGACCTTTAATACTTTGCTACTTAAAGTTCAGCCTTGGGACCAGCCGTATTGGCATCACCTGTGAGCTGTTAGTTGCAGGTTGAGAACTTTGGAAAAGAGCTTATTACGTTTTTCTTTCTGAACACAGGTACTTGCAACTGGGCTCAGTGGTCTCTACTCTTCCCTGCCGACAAAGTTAGAGGAGAAGGGCGAGGAGTGGCATTGCCTTCTGAAGGATGACTGGCTTCTCCTTCCTTCCCTCGTCCAGTTCATGAACTCTCTGGAGTTCTGCAATGCAGTCATACAGGTACTGGAGCATGCTAAAGGGTCCCTTTGCTGTGGCTTCATTCAGAGCGTGAGCATTGCAAAGGACTCATTTATAAACATTCACTTTTTAAAATTTCAATAAGTGTTTATAGAATACTGGTGCTTTTCTTTAAGCCTTCTGAACGTCCTTGAATGAATGAGTGAGAATGTTAGTTTGTAGGTTTCTGGGAAGTTTTAATTGAAAAAAAAAAATGAATAGATTGTCTTTATCTTCTTTATGAAAGGTGTTAATTCTGTTTTGATTATCCACTTATCAAAAATAAGTTCAATGCCTTACTCATTAAAGAGATATTTTTAGGTTTCTAAGTACTTCAATTTATACCACTTTTACTTCAAGGTCTTCTTGGGAGTCTACAAAAGAAAACACTTTATTTTGCTTAATGGTGCATACTACATAAAGAATATTGTTATTCCAATTGAATTTAGAAGAAATTAAGCATTTTCTTAGCAACACAAATTAAATTTGCTTTGAAATTGGCCCGCTTAGGGGGAAAGAAAGCCAACTGCTGAACTCTTATGTATTTGGCTTCTTGATTAGATTTTTACTGTGAGATTTCTTGTTACCATTTTCAATAAAAATCAGATTTTATATATATTTAAGGATGTGGCAGGTTTTCATAAAAAAATGTTTTGCTTCTATACAGCATAAATATTACCTTAATATTGGATTTATTAAGAAATCAAGTTTTCTTTATGGTAAATGTAAGATAAAAAATGTTAGTTATAATCTGTTTATCTACCATATAAAGAAATAGCTTCTGGAAGAAAATACAAGTAAATTACTTTAGTTCCCATCTCATTTTTATTGCTAAGTCAAGGGAAGTTTTATTTATGTATAAGATAAATAGATTACATTTTAAGTTATTTTTTTCTTTAATCTTGCAGTCTATCAACATTTTCTTGCAAATAGTGTGGAAATAAAAAAGATGGAACTACTATTAGTTCCTTCCCAAGTGTACACACACAGCGAGAGATTATCAGTAATTTAAAGATCTAGCCTCACTTCCCTAGAAATTGCTTTTTATTTTATTGTTTGACTTTCTTCTTCTTCATCTTCTTTTCGTCTTTTCTTATTTTATTTTTTTAGAAAGAGAAGTTCAGCTAACAGGCATGGTTAAAAACACGGAAATTACATATTTTATAATATATTTTGAAATTGAAACCATATACTTTTAAGATTTTTTTTGTTTGGGAAGGACTCCTACAAAGGTTATTTACACAGATACTAGTGAAAGGCTATCCAAGCTAAATAGTTTTTGGAAATCAAATGAAAGAAGTGTCCTGTCTCTGATAATGTTTTCTGCTTTTGAATATTAACTATTTTTATGAAGAAAAGTTCTAAATGCCTTCCTCTTCAGTATACATGACTATCAGAAAATGCATCTTCAGAATGTGATGATTCTGCTAGCAAAATAAGTGTATTTAATGATCTATTTTGACCGTTATATTAATACTTTAGAAAAGTTAGTCACAAGATGAGATGTGACCTAGAAGAAGGTAGGGGGCAAGAATGATACTTTCCAATTTATTAATTTTAATTTATGAATCCTGATGCATACTCAGTCTATTGTCTTTTTTTCAAACAGATACTTTAAAATTACCATTTTAAAAAAAATTGGAAGTTTAGCTTCTGCTAATTGTAGCCAAACTCTTTATATTGGAAAAAGCCACTTGAAAAAATGACATGACAATCTGAGGTCTGATTTATTCATCCATCAATGGAATCAGTGGCCAAAATTTGTATTTCCTTTTTGAATTCAGGATTCAAAATGTCTGAGTTTAAGAAGACCTAAAGTTTGTACTCTTTACCTCTTCCATTACTACCTGTTTCTCTCTCAGGTGGCTCACCCTCTAATTCGAAATCAGCTTGTCAACTACATTTATAATGGATTCTTGGTACCAGTTTTGGCTCCTGCTCTCCACAAGGTCAGTGATTGGCTAGTGCAACCTTCTGTCTCTTTGTAGTACAACTGATGGACCCTGGAGGGAAACATGGTGTAATTGATTTGATGGTGCTTTTTTTCTCACTCCATGTGTGTTGCTTAGCAATGTCAGAGGTAGGTCTTAAAATACCCAGGGCTTAAGTCCGGTGGGTTCCATTTGGTGTCATGGAATACAGTATTGTGAGTGTCAAGTAGGATAGTCAATCTCAGGGAGTATTAACAGATAGACTTGACACTTGTGACGGCTTCGGTTCATGGGTAGTGGCTACTTGGAACTTGCTGTCAAGATGTCCTCCAAGGCTGAGTCTGTCATAAAGAATGCTTTGCCTTGGGCACACAGAGGGGCAGTAGTGGCACCAATGCCATGAATTTGCCATCTTCTTAATAGAACATAATTTTTTATTATAACAATTTTGTGACAGCAGAAATTAAAGTGAAGCCAAGTTAAGGTCCCATCAAAGGTTGGCTGTCTCATTAGCGCCACTCTGAATTCCTTATGACTCTCTCATTTTGTATAATAAATCAACTGTTATCTTTTCCATTGTGAGCTGTCAGGAGACACCCATGGACCTAGAATTCTAATTTTCTGGGATTTTTTTCTTCATTAAGCAAAGAAACTTGTGCAGTGTTTAGTTCAGAGGATCTTTGTCAAGTTTTGGAACCATACTTCTGGTATGGGGAGAAGCAAGAGCAACTTGTCATATATATATATATATATAAAAATTTTTTCTGAGTTGACGTCTCCCGTCGTCACCCAGGCTGGAGTGTAGTGGTATGCTCGTGGCTACTGCAGCCTTCACTTGCTGGGCTCAGGTGATCTTTCTACCTCAGCCTCCAGAGTAACTGCAACTAGTGTACTACCATGGCTACTAATTTTTTGATTTATTGTAGAGATAAGGTCTTGCCAAATTGCCCAGGCTGGTCTTAACTCCCTGGGCTCCTCTTGCTTTGGCCTACCAAAGTGATGGGATTACAGGTGTGAGCCACCGTGCCTGGCTCATATGTTGTTTTGATGGAATACCCACCTTTCTGCATCCTGGAATTCCATCTCTCTGGACTCTTATCTTACAGAATCCAAGAATACCTGATTATGGCCACTTCAACACCTTACCATCCATGCTGAGGGCGTTTCTGGTTTAAAGTAGCAGGTCTTGACGAAAGATGTTCCTCTTTTACCTTTTAGTGCCTTTTGAGCGCAGTGGCCATATGTTCCAAAACAAACAGGGAATCTGGTCTGACTCAGATTTTTGTGTTTTTTCTAGGTTCATTCAAGAGGCTATCTTTGATGTGGTTCAAACATCAAAATACTAAGATTTCCAGGTTATTTTAGTCGTTTATTGGCACAAAGGGACCAAATCTGTGAAATGAGATCTGCCTTAGAAAATATGAGTAGCTTTGGAAAATAGAAACCTTGTATTTGTTTCCAGGTTGTCCTTCTGTTTTTCACTGCTTTTCTGTTTCAGTGATGGGCTGGGTATCTTTCATTGCAGGCCTTTAAGTCCCTGCATGGAGGAATTGTCCTCATTGGAGGAATACAACAGTGCTGTAGAAACTCTTTGGCAGTAATTATCCATGTCCTCTCTCATGCACTTAGACTTTCTTCTTCATTTAATTCCTTCCTTTTCCTCATTGACCTATTGACATGAAATAATTTCTTGCCATTATGAGAGTAGTGATAATTATTATAATTACTATTTGTTCAGGAAATTTTATGTTATTATAATTAGCATATGTTAATGCTGCAGACATTACTGATGACTCTATCTGTAATTGAGGATGAGAGTCACCTTCAGAGAGCTGTTCTAGAGATCTTACTGGTCACTCCCACAAGTGGAATTAAATCATTAAATGTCGATTGGTTGTTTAATGTCTGTCTCTACAGTGGTACGTATATTTTCTGGTTTGGGTTACTTTCACATGTTCACTGGGGTGTCTCCAATGCTGAGCACAGTACCTTAGACTTAGGAAGATGAATAGACAGCACACAAATGGAATGTTTGTAAAGTACCAACAGAGTGCTGGCACTGAGTACTTTCCCAGACAGTGGTTTGTAAGAGAATAATAGCTAACATTTGATAGAACACTTTATATATACTCCCTAATATTATTCTCAATGATGCCCATTGTTAAAATATGAGATTTTTAAAATGGTGAAGCTAATACATTGCTTATTGTTTTAAAAAAAAAGAGAGAGACAGTGCTGGTATATAAAATAAAGAGTGAACGTTACCATATTAGACTGGAATTTTGAATCCCTAATTAGGATCCCTTACCTTTGAGCCCTTGCAGACAGTTTCTCTCAGGGCTAGACAGCAACTAGGGAGAACAAAGAGGGATATTTTTTCCTCCATAATTAATTTTTCTTTCTGCTCTTGGTCTTTTTGCTTGTTTGTGTTTTTATCATTTAGAATTAACAGGTTAGGGAGGGAACAGGCATGGGGGAAAGCGAACAGCCTCACTTATGGCTCTGGGCTCCCTTTGTGGTGGGCGAAGAACAGAGCACTTTCATGAGGAGAAGGACCAGGACTCAGAGGCATGTGAGCAGAGTCCAGAGTTTGGGTGTTTCTCGAGGAGTGGGAGTTGTCATCTCCTACTTCCTCTGTTTCTCCTTTGATGTGGGAAGGGGTACCTAGAAGTCTGGGCTCAGGTTACCTGGAAGAATGCCTGACCATATTTTTCATATTGTGTCCACTACTTTGACAGATGAACCTTCTTGAGTATCCTTAATACCCTTCATTGTGCACTAGCTCAGTGAATTGTGCATACCATCTTAATTACCTGCCAGCAGTGTGGGCAGTTTACAGAGGCGAACCTATTCTCTCTGCCTCATAAATAAAATAAATCAAGTCATACTTAGAAATTTCCCCTCATCACAATCAGGACTCATAAACATTTCCACAGCACCTCTGATCCTAAGATGAAGTCATTGCGAAGGGTGGTGGGTAATAAAAGGTGGGGAGTGAGAGATTGTCTCCACTTCTCTCCCCACCCTGCGTGTGCGTAATAACAGTGCTGCCTCTGCAAGTCGTTCTTGCAAGTTCTTATATCGCGTACTTTCTTCATCCAACACCACAGGGTGGCCATCATTCTTCTGTGTTAATCTGAAGATGTTTTTAATTTTTTTTCCAAAGGACTGCGTAGTTTTCTGTAGTATGAACATACATGTCCACAATCCTTATCCACAGGTTGAACTTCAAAAAGCTCTAGATGTAGAATGTTTTCTTATAATTTGGTGTGTAACCTACCTTTTGCTGAACTAATTTGGTATTAAAGCCTACCTGAGCCCTCTCAAGGCTATTTACTTTTGACACTTTTGTGTTAATGTTTATATGTTTTGTGGAAGGAATATTAAAATATTTGATTATAGGGTGCTGACCCAGCTCCACTGGGGATGTTATATCAAATATGACAGGTGTACCTGTTACTTTTCTTAAAGTGTTTTGTGTGTATATGTGTGTGTGTGTTTGTTTTTTAGATAGGGTCTTGCTCTGTTGCCCAGGCACAGTCACAGCTCACTGCAGTCTCAACTTCCTGGGCTCAGGCGATCCTCCTGCTTGATGCTTCTGAGTAGCTGAGAACTACAAGCACACATCACCAGGCCTGACTAATTTTTTTATTTTTGTGAGGTGGTTTCTTTTTTCTTTTTTTTTTTTGAGTTGGAGTCTCACTCTTTCACCCAGACTAGAGATAAGCCTCGACCTGCTGGGTTCGGCGATCCTTCTGCCTCAGCCTCCAAGCAGCTGGAACTACAGGCGCATGCTACCACGCCTGGCTAATTATTGATTTATTGTAGAGATGAGGTCTCGCCAAGTTGCCCAGGTGGGTCTCGAACCCGCGGGCTCAGGCAATCCACTCACCTCAGCCTCCCAAAGCGTGAACCCGGTGAGGTGGTGTCTTTCTATGTTGCTTAGGCTAGTCTCCAGCTCCTGGGCTCAAATAATGCCCCTACCTTGGCCTCCCGAAGTTCTGGGATTCTAGGCGTGAGCCACCATGCCTGACCATAAAGTTTTGAATTCCAAAATACACATGGTCTCCAGGGTTATGAATAAAGGATTGAAAGCCTATTTTAGACATTTGGGAAAGGATAACTTTTTAGATATCGGTTTAAATAATACTTTTTAAAAGTCATATGAAAGAAAATGATACCATATTAATATAAACAATGTGAATATTAAATACAGCTGTAGATATGGATGTCACTTGTACGAAACTGGTTACTTTTGACTTCAGATTAATGAATTCAATAAGATTAGCTCTTATTCAGTAAGAACTAGTTCTGTTTTCTCTGTATATTTAATTTGTCAAAGATAAGTTTTTGTTTTTTTAAAAATTTTAGATTCAAGGGGTATACTTGCAGGTTTGTTGCATAGGTGTATTGTGTGATGGTGAAGTTTGGGCTTCTGATGCCTCCCAGTGGTGGGCGTGGTACCCAATGGGAGGGCTTTACAGCCCTTGCCTTCTTCTCTCCCATCTCCTCTTTAGGAGTGCCCAGTGTCTGTTGTTTCCATCCTTATGCCCATGTGTATTTAGCATTTAGCTCCTACTTATAAGTGAGAAAATGTGGTATTCAGTTTTCTGTTTCTGTGATAATTTGCTTAGAATGATCATCTCCAGCTACATCTATCCACGTTGCTGCAAAGAACATGATGTTCTTTTTTTATGGCTGCGTAGTATTCCATGGTGTCTGTCCTTTATCCAGTTCACAATATCCACATATTATTTATCCAGTCCACCATTGATGGGCACCTGGCTTGGTACTATGTTTTTGCTATTGTGAATAGTGCGGCAATACACGAGTGTGGGTGTCTTTTGGGTGGAGCAATGTATGTTTGCATATATACCCAGTAGTGGGATTGCTGGAATTTATTTTTAGTTCTTTGAGAAATCTTCAAATTGTCAAAGCGAAATTTTCAAGATTGGATATTGATCAGTATAGTTTTGTTAGTCTGGGTTCTCAGAGAAGTAGATGCCAAGATGGAGCTT